TTTAGATCATTGCCTCAGGATGCTTTTCTGCTTCTTGATGTTATTAAATTGGGTTCCTCCTTTAGACTCATGACTGGTGTGCTCTGTCACGTTTTTGTTGATCTTGATGACTCTGACATATCTCTTTCAGTGGTTGTGTGGAAATTGTGGTCTTCCAGTTGATATTTTTGCTCACTGGTGTCTGTCTTTCATTGACAACACGTGTTGTTTGTCATCCTCTTAGTGTCTCAGAGTGCCTCTGTTTTGTTACTGCATTTCTTTGTGGTTTTCCAGTCCCGCATTCCTTATATTGTCTTAGCTTATTGGATTGCTGTGTAATATATTTTCATCTTTTTTCCTTTTCGAATGTCATTTATTGTCAGGTAGATGCCAAGCTTTGAATCTGCTAATGTGTTAGATTAATTTAGAGCAATTAATCCCACAATTATAGGTCTATAGAGGAGCTTTAAAGTGGGACTCCAGTCAATGCTATTGACAAGCTCTAATTTTAGTTTCTGTGCAGACCACATGTTTGGGGTTTAGGCACCACAACATTTAAAGTACCATCAGTATTGTTTAAAGTCAAGTAAACCCAATGTATGTGTGCTTTTATACACTACTGTTCAAAAATTTTGGGTTGATAAGATTTTTTGAAAGAAGTCTCTTATGCTCTCCAAGGCTGCAATAAAAACAGCAATGTTGTGAAATATTATTACAACTTCAAATAACTTTTCTATTTTAATATATTTTAAAATGACATTTATTCTGTGATGGCAAAGTTGAATTTTCAGCATCCATTGCTTCAGATTTCAGTGTTGCGTGATCCTTCAGAAATGATTCTTATATTGTGATTTAGCGCTGAAATAACATTTATTATTATTCAAAACAGTTTTGCTGCTTAATAAATGTTTGTTTGTTTTTTCGGAAATTGTAATGCATTTTTCCTACTACTTTGATAAATAGAGAGTTCAAAAGAGCAGTATTTATTTGAAATTAGGCCTGGTTGATAAAACGGTGTCGATATTTATCGACGGTACACCTTCTTCGATAACGATATAAAAAATATTCGATATAGGCACGTGCTATGAGTGACGCAGATTGAGTGCTGTGCCTGCCTGTGACGAGGAGATTGTGAATAAAAAATGAATATTAGTCGAATTTAAAATAAACATTTGCATTTGAATGTTAGGAGTGCGTCAGGGAGCGTCAAAAGTGACTCACGAGATGCGGTGATAATGATGTGAGTGACGTTGTTGCATTTTAATGTTTTGTTAGTCTAGCCCACGAGATGCGCCGCTGCTGTGTTATGCATTCAAAATATTAGAGAAATATAGAAGCTCAAAGTGGAGAAGATCTTGATTAGGTGAAAACCGAAATCAAGCCATTTACACAGATGCATATTCAGCGCATTTTTAGACGGACAAATATGACTTGGATAGCTGGCCAATCAGAGCACACCTCGCTTTTTCAGACCGATGAGCTTTGTAAAAATCGACGCGTTTCAGAAAAGCGGGGCATAGAGGAGAAACAATAATGTACAGTATGTGGAAAATAATGTTTTTTTTAACCTTAAACCGCATAAACACATTTCATTACACCAAATACACAAAATACTGTTCTTTTTAGCAGCATCATATGACCCCTTTAAGATCTATTTAATCTGCATATAAAACAGAAATTAGATATTTGTTTAATTTTTATTGTGTTTTACTGTTAAAACAAAAAATATTTGTTGTTTGTCTCAATAAATTGGGTTAATTTAAAAATACAGTGGTTAAATTAAAAAAAAAAATTCTATTGCTCTTTGTTTTAAAAAAGGTTATTAAAAATGTCAATAATTATCGATACCGAACAATATGAAACATTATATCGTTGATACATTTTTTAGCTATATCGCCCAGCCCTATTTGAAATATATTTTTTCTTGCTTTTGATTTGAAGCTGCATTCAAAATCCATTTGGCTCAAAAATCTAAGAGGGCATGTGTCCCATTGGTTTGAATTAAATATTAACACACTGTACCTGTCCAAGCACTAGAGGAGTTACTCCTGAACAATCAGATGTTGTTCTGCTTAAAATGGCATCACTGCTTTCAGATTTGTCCAAAGGAATTCATTGAGTAATTCCAAGCTGTTTTCCATGGTAAAATGTCAGTGTATCTTACTAAGAATTAAAACAGATAAATCCTATATGGCCACACTTCAAAGCCCGACTGAGTGAAATACCTTCAAGTGCCTTCTTTCTAGATGGCTGCAGAGTTAATTGTGAAATCTCTGCATATTGTACATCATTGGCTGAGTATCACCTGTGGTGTGCGAGTGTTGTGTCAGAGAAAGCCAAACTCCTCCAAGCCATTCTCCAGGCTGGATGTCAGAGTGTGACGTGGACTTCTGCCATCATATTGTTACAGTGTGTGTCTTCTCGTACATGAATATGTAACGAAAGCTCATTCCTCTGCTTGTCATCACACAGCTCAGAAAACAAGTAGCACAAGTCTCAGTAACACTCCACAAACTTATACAAGTACACAACTGCAGGCGCTTAGCCAGCAAATGCCTCTTGTAACCTACTTGACATGTGTTCCTCTGGTACTGTGGGGGTAACAAACCTCAGTACTCAAGGTGGCATTACAGTTAACCTCAAATGTCCATGCCAATATTCCACTCATTATAAATATTTTGACAGTTTAACTAACTTTTAACTAACTATTTAAAACTTCCTCTGCCAAGACATGACCTGACCTGAAGATCTGAAAAAGAAATTGATGCTAATTCCTACTATGGCACCCATTGTTGTAACTATGTAACATTGTGTTATGACTTGGGTTCTGATAGGGCAAAAAAATAAAATCTCGATTTTCTTCAGAACGTTTGACTGATTCTCGATTTTTATGATTTTAACTAGTTTTTAACTTGAAAATGTAACTACAGCATGATTCAACATGATTCACTTTTTCTTTATTAACCTTCTAGTTAAAGAAAATTCTATTCCATGTGCACCACACATGAAGTTGTCAACATGATGTAAATGTTAAACAAATCACTTGTTAAATATCTTTGCAGAAAAGATGCATGATGCAACTACAACTACATCTTGTACAAACTTGTCTCATACATATTATTTGTTCAGAAATAATACAAGGAAAATGCTTTAAAAAAATTCTCAAAAGTCAAGGTAATTCAAATTCAAAATGACTGAAGGCATAACAGACTAACTATAAATGTTCTGTAAAAACAACAGCAGCTTTCTGTCTGTCACCGTGATGCAAACATGAAATATCAGACATACAGTAGTAGTTCTTTACTATCAGGCTAAAGTTAGCATTTTCCAAGATCTCCTATTGTACCTTTAACTATAAATGTTCTGTAAAAACAATGAACAGTGGCTTTCAGCCTGTCACCATGATGCAAACATGAGATATCATACCTACAGTAGTAGTTAATTACAGGTTTTTATTCGATTGCACTGCTTTTCCATAGTTTTTTCTATGTAAACATGGGTGCGTTTGACTGTTGAGCTCGCGTCTCTTGCAGCATCTCATGCATGAAACAGCATTCTAAAAACGCGGCACTCAATTTAAAAGAAGTTCAACTCCCATCTTCCTGCATTTTTTTCCTATTTCACTGCCTGCGTCGCATCTTTGTCAACACAAAAGTGCATTCTGTGTGAATGGCACCCAGTGATATATTCTACTTATGGTTCTTCACAGAGCGGGTCACATGTGAGCGGTTAATCATGTGCGCCGACATGCGGTTGGGTCATTCTTTTCTCTTTACTGTTAACATTAGCATATTGTCAGTGTCTAATTTTAACGTTTGGTAATATTTCTATTCTATTCAATCTATAAAATCTGAAAAATCGCCCAGCCCTAGGTTCTGCTTATGTTGCTAGAAGTGTTTGCGTTTGCATAGAGTAGGTTCCAGTCCTGCAACTTCATCTGCATCTATGTAGGACTAGAAGATTCCATAGCAAAGTACCCCGTGGCTCAACATTAAAACGGATAGTTTACACAAAAATGAAAATTCAGTTATCAATTACTCACCATCATGTCGTTCCAAACTCATAATACTTCTGTTTATCTTTGAAACATAACTTTTTTTTTTGTTGCTTTTATTCACATATAAACATCAATCAGCGCACATATGTATAACAAATCATAGATGGTCAATGGCAGCTCAGCCATTACACATGAGAAACCTCATTGGTTCTTGTGTGTCAAGCCAGCACATTTGTACTTCATCTTGTCATATTTTATGTGCTTTATGTATGTGTGTTGATCTATGTTTATAAATATAAATTAAATCTGTTCATCATGTAAAGTAATTGTGTCTCTTCAGAAGACATAAACTAAACTGCTCAGTTCATATGGGTTACATTTACAATGTCTTCATGAAATTTCTGAAGCGTGAAAGTTTTGGTGGAATGGATGGATAATTGGGTGAACTATCCCTTTGTTTCCTTTGCAAATTTTCTTCATACAAATATTTTTGTTGCAATATATAACAAATTTGTAACAAGCTGAAAAATATGAATATGTAACCCTATAAAAACTGAAGCACTAGAGTGACTTTACATGTTTTACAGCTTAGTTGATTATATCAGGAGCGTTTGTGGTGCTGCTGTGCAGAAAAGCAGTTTCTAGAGACCCATGTAGCTTTCACAAAGAAAAATCCTGACAGTAACATTAATGCTATCCTGTGGAAGTCACAGTGCGCAGGCGCGATACAGATATATGCAGCCACAGTTTGTCTTCATAACTGTACCATGTGCAGCTGTGTGGATTATGGTCCCGTTCTCATTCACATGCTCATTTTCATTCTCTCCTTGTCTGAATTCTTCAGTAATCACAAACGGAGCGTCTTGCAGCTCCCCATTGTGACCCCATTTGCTTCAATCTCGCTCACACACTCCTACAGACACCCCTCGTGGTGATTCCAATGCAGTGCTGTGCAATGTTATGTTGTTGTGTGTGTATATATATATATGTGACCTGACCTCTCCCCTTCCATGCTATTGTTCAGCAGACAGATGCTGTCCCACCCTCCACTCTCATAATCCCTGTGATCCCAATCTCCACTGTCCCTGCGGAGCCCGCTGTCATCTCTTCATCAACGTCACAGGTCTTTTTTTCTTTATCTATTTTCCCTCTACACCCCCTCCCTACCTTATTATTTTGCTATCTTCCTGTTGGTCATTTTTTCTTGATCCCTGCCATTCCGCTGCTCGTTGATGGGCCTGAAGGATTATCAGCCCCAGAGTCGGGGAAAGTACTACGGCTCCCCTTGACTAATAGCATCTGCGTGTCAACCAGCCGGAGGAAGTGGAAAGCCCCACAGAAAGACAGACAGAGAGATTGAGCAAGCGAGAGAGAGTGGATTTAATTTTAGGCTACTTTTGGCTGGAAATAGCATTCATGCTTCAGCATTGCATGTTCTGCAGTATAAAATGCCTTGTACGTACGTATGCTGGCAGCACTGTGTTAATCTGGTGTGAGTGCCAGTGGTAGTATTTGTAGCGTCATGTGGAGAGTAAGTGAATATATCTTTGATATATAGAATGATGCTTAACATGGCTTTTCCTAGTTACCTCATCTGCTGAACACAACGAATGGAATGGAAATAAATGGAATGGGAAATGTGCTGAAATCAATCCTTTAACTGGACTGTTTTCTCTTGCAGGCAAATCCTTCCCCTGTCGTGGTAAATACAGAGAGCTTGGATTCAGCTCCATATGTAAGTGTCCTTTTCACTTGTTTACACTTCAGTTTTTACTTTTTGGAATTCAGAATTCCCTCAGAGCATTTTATAGCTGTTATTGTCAAGTTACTTTAGGTCAGTGATCCTCAAATCTGGCTCGCGAGATCCACTTTCCAGCAGAGTTTAGCTCCAACCCCATAATCAAACAAACCTACCTGTGATTTTCTAATGATCCTGAAGACACTGATTAGCAAACTCAGGTGTGTTTGATTAGGGTAGAGCTAAACTCTGCAGGAAAGTGGATCTCGCGAGCCAGATTTGAGGATCACTGTTTTAGGTGATGCCAGCAGAAAAATGTGCAATAGGGTAACTTTCGTTTTACTTATGTAATGTCATGTATTTTCAAGTGAAACTGGATATTTAACAAAAAAACATATAGGGTGGCACTTTATATATTTGGAGTTGGATTGAGAAAATGGGCATCATGTGCCAGAATGGAGGATAGAATGTGATGCCTAAATACAAGAAGTGTGTTCGACCTGAGGCTGCACACACCGATCGGTGTATGACATCAAAGTACCGCGAGAGCTATTTAAAATCATAAGGAGTCGTCTGCACTTTAATCACTCTCACTGCACTTTGATGTCATACACAGATCTGTCTGTCCAGCGCAACTTTAAGTTGAACACACCTTAAGTCTAAATACACTAAAATGTGCAAAAATTATACCTTTAGGGGCAACAGCTTGTCACTGGGTCAGTATCATCAAAGGGGACATCTTTGTACCTCATTTACTCCAATAAGGTTCATAGTAGTACGCTAAGGGTACATATTAGAATTCCTAGTAGTAAAAACAATTATATTATGAAATATGATTAGAATTTTAAATAACTTTCTGTCGTTTTACTTTAGTACCCTATTTACCCTACTCCAGGGTACTCACATGCGCCTTTTAGGGGTAAATAAGATACAGAGTTGTCCCTTTAAGGGCACTGCCCCAGTGACAAACTGCCTAAAATTAAAATTTTTGCATTTTTTTTTTCCCTGACAGTGTACATATTTGGCTATTGGTTTACATTAGCCTATGTGGCCTAGGTGACTTGAGCAGAAAGTTGCTTCAGAGTCCGAGCAAGTTATTTCATTTTGTTGAAAGATTATGAAGTCAAGTATAGGATAATGTTCACTGGCATCTTAGGTGCTATAAGCATGGAAATGATTGTAAATGTTCATTAAGGAAGTCAATATTTTATTGATGAGATATATTTTCTTCAGTCATGTTTTTCACCGCACTATGTGCTTGTACCAGGGTACCTCTGGAGCTTCGATGTCATGTTAGCGTAGAGTCTGGAATATCATTTCTGAGACCCATTAGTCAAAGCTTGCATTCATTCAGCACTGTACTGAAATGACATCTCTTGGGTTTGTTTTCCGCTTCATTTCCCTTGAGTCTGCCTGTGGAGTATCAAGGTCAGTAGTCTTGATTGTGCCACTCAGGGGCACTATGTCTGTTTTTCTAATCAAGCACCAGGCATTCAACCTTCACTTCAGCCTTTTTGCTGTATCAGGAGTGCCGCAGGTTCTGGCTTAGCATACAGATTCTCACGGGACTCATCGCCGTTTTGTCTTATGTGATTGGGGACTGTAATTGACTCCATGTGGAAATTATGTTGTGAAGGCAAGTGGGGTGAGAATATTGTTTTTATGTTGGCTTGTTTAGAGGAAACTACATTATGTGGGCAGCGTTGAATACTTGAAGATTTATTAGTTACCAAAAGGAATCTGCACACCTAGTCAAAAACTTAAATACGAGTGACACGTTTTGGATATTCTATAGTCTTTGTTATAGTTTACTCACCAGATTATATACATTCCAAAACAAATCATTTTAACTTCATAAAATTGGACAGCCACAGCTTTTTACAAAGATGCATTTATTTGTTACATGATCTTGAAAGCATAACAATTACACTTTTAACAAAATATCATTAATTTGAGTATTTTATATTATGAAATTTGTTATTAGAACTGAAACCTGGCAAACATGTTTGAATGAAAATGAATGCATATTTGTCATATTAAACAAAATGAAGAAAATTATGGACTAGTGGTGGTGCTTAATTTGGTGGTGGTGTCATAGGTAATTAGTATTCACAGGTAAAACATAGTATAACATAGGTAAAAAAATTCTTGGCCGAAACCGAACAAAATGAAACACTGAGCCGAAGGCCAAATACTGAATACTAAATGAGTTTTTTCCCCCGTGTATTTTGCCAAATTTTTTTTCACCATTGCATAAATTAAATAGCCAAAATTTGCTTTTTACTGTTTTGTCTTGCTTTTCAAAGAAAAAAAAAATCAATTACAAAACAACAATTTAAAAATATTTAACACTGAACATTTTTAACATTCTAGCAGACACTATACCAACAAAGCACAATTTAACTTAAAATTAATAAGTTAGAAAAATTTTATTTTTTGGCCATCAGACCCCCTTCTTGAATCAGGCATGTATTACTGTACAATTAAAAGCAGCCTTGCTGAGAAGAGACTTCTTTTAAAACATTAGAAAATATTACAGATCCTATTTTGAACACTTTGTGTGAATGTTATAATAAATGTACTAACAGAGCTGTTGTAATGATAATTATCATTATTATTGTCTTACTTTTTATTTTATTTTACAGAACAACAGTAAAATTACAATACTAACATGTATGAATGTTGATA